AAGATCTCGGCGGCCAATGGCACCAAGAAAGCCGATCGGCAGAAGTTCTCACCCTACTGAGCCCTGCTGGTGGGTGGGAGAGGGGGCCCAAGGATGCCACCCGCTGCTGGGGGCACCTCCCTGCTGCCCACCCTGCTCCCCAGCCCCTGCCAGAGGGAGGGCCCACCTTGCCCCCTACCCCAGGGAAGGGTCTTCCCAGTGGTGATGCCCGCCGGAGGAAAGGGCTGCTCTGCTGCCTGCTGCCCATCCTGGCAGCGCTGTGTCCCCCTCCCCTATTTTCCTGCACGGAGACCACGTGCCCTGGTATTGGATGGGGGGACTGTCCCTGCTGGGCTGGGGTCCTTTCTCCCAGTGCCCTGTGCTGGGGTGAGACCCCCACATCCTGCCCCTCTCCCTGCCCACCCTGCTGTCCCTCTCCTGCCCACCCTCTGGTTGGCACCCAAAAGGAGGGTTTCACTGGATGAAGGGCTGCCTGGCCTCTCTGGGGGTCCCTCATCCCTTGGCTCTGGTGGGGGGCCCTCCTGAGACCACCCTGAGGCAGTAGCCTCCCAGCAACCCCATCCGAGAGCCAGTCCCTGCTGGCTTGGAAATGCTGTATATATAAGTCTATATTTTTTCCTCCTTTGTAACTTATCAATGATTTAATAAAAAGATAAAATTTACAAGACAAAAATAATAATATGGCCCACCCTGGGTGGAGACATACCCCCCACAGCCAGGGCAGCCCCACCTCCTGGGGACATGGGATGGTGGCAGGAGGGGTGTCCCTGTGGCCAGAGGGGTGTTGGTCCTCAGCCCCTGTCTCTCTGGGGGTCTTCCCAGAGCCCCCTCCCTGCCATGGGGTGGTTTGAGAGGCCATGGGGCAGGGGCTTCTCCAACCCACTGTATCAGCACCATCCCTGGGACCTCAGCACCATCTCTGGGAGCTTTGTGGGCAGGCTGGGGGGGACGTACCCCTCCAGCATCCTCCCAGCAGGATCCAATCCCTTTGCTTCCACTGGGAACCCCACAGAAGGGTCTCCAAGCCCTGCAGAAGCAATGGGACCAAAGAGGGAGAGTGGCTCCTGGTCCCCTCCAGTTCCTACTGCCCAGGGCCACCACACATGCCCCCTCCCCTCCCCCACCAGCCTGTGTCACCTCTCCCAGCCCAGCGCACCCCTGGCTGGCAGCCCAGTTGGGCTGGCACGTGGCACCTCTGGCTGGGCTTCAGCTGGGCAGCTGTGTCCATAAACAGCCTGGCACGGACCCCTGGACAGCCAGCATCCCCCCCTGGGAGACAACTCCTGCCAGTCACCACGAGTGGGGCAGGGGACACGGCCAGGCATGGCCATGGGCATCGCATGTTGCCACACCAGCAGGAGAAATACAGACACAGCCAGAGCCAGCCCCATGGGTGCTGTCCCTCGGATAAGACTCACAGGTGACAGGAGCTCCTCTACCCTGATGTTAGTGTGGGGTTAAACATCCAAGGGTGGAGGGCTCCACATCAGCTGCCTGGGCTCAGTGAGTGGCCGGGACCCTGGTGTTACTGGAGTTAGTGGTGTTAGCTGGGTCATTGCTCCTGGGAAGGGTGCAAGGGACGTCTGCTCTTCCCTGCTGGCCTTGAGTCATCTCAGTGGGGTGACAGACATGGAGGTGCCCCCTCCTTTGCCCACGTGTAGGAGCCCCTTGGCATCCCATGTCCCAGGGAGAGCCCATCCATGCAGGCTCCCTGCCCACTATCCTGCCCAGCATGGCAGGACAGGACCTTCTACTTCTCAGCTGCTCTCTTCAGGAACTTGACCTGGGATGGGGAAGTCCATCTTGGTCTGGTCCAGCCTGTTCCTGGGGCTGGGGCTGATGCAGCTGGCATGGGACTCCAGTGTGCAAGTCGCTCTCTGGAGGAACTGCAAGAAGTTTTCCTGAACAGAAGCCTCCGAGATGGAAAGACAGATCTCCTGGCCCAGTGGCCTGTTGAGACAGCTGCGCCGGAGCCGGGCCAGCTCCTTTTTTCAGCAGCCCATAGAAGATGGGATTGATGGCAAAGGAGGAGTAGGCAATCCAGGTGACCACCATCTCCCCGTGACCACCATGTACTGTGCTCGTACCAACAGAGGAGTGCAAGTGGAAAGCAAAGAAGGGCAGCCAGCAGCACAGAAACTGCCCCACAATGAGGACCAAGGTGAGGATGGCCTTGTTGCTTCCCAAAAAACGCTCTGGCATCAGCCTGGGCAGTGGCAGGTTCCTGGTGATGATGGTCACTTGGCTGGCGATGGAGTCTGATCGGCGTCTCGGCACGGCTGCCTGTGCTGCAGGCACCTGCTGCAGGGACGCCATCCGGGCCACCCGGTAGACACTGCAGTAGACAGCCAAGATGATGATGGTGGGCAGGACAAAGCAGACAATGCTGAAGATGATCACAAAAACCTTCTTGTGGGCCCCAGGACTCCAGTAGACTGTGCAGCGACTGGCGCTGGTGGCCCCACTGCCTTGAGGCCAGCCCACCAGTGCCAAGACAGGGATGAGAGCAGACTTGACCCAAATGAAGATGACTCCGGCCACCGCTAGCCTGATGGTCATCTTGACCTCATACCTCATGGGGTGCACGATGTAATAGTATCGCTCCACGCTGATGATGGAGATGGTGAGGATGGAGGCACTGATGAAGCAGATATTCAGGAACATCAAGGCCTGGCACTCAGCAGTGCTGTAGATCACCCTGTTGAAGCAGGAGGAGCTGGAGATGATCCCCAGGGGCATGAGGAAAATGGCAGAGAGGAGGTCAACCATGCAGAGGTGGCAGACAAAGATTAACTTCCTGAGAAGGGGACTTTTGAGAATGGCAATCATGACCACGGTGTTGGCCACTAGGGCGACGAGGGTGAGCAGGACCATGAAGAAGAGGCCCACCACATCCTGAGCGATGGACTGCTCAGGGATGGACAGCAGCTCTAAGCTGTCTGTGGTGTTCAGCCCCATTTGGCTTGCCATCCCCCTGAGGGCTAAGCCAGCAGCTCCGGTGCCTGGGCAACAAGGGCTCTTTTTCTGCATCCCTTAGAAGGAAACCCCACCATAACCATGGCCTCTGTCTTCTCCTTGCCTGCCAGGGAGGAGAAGAACCAAAATGAAGAAGAGCCACAGAGAAACCCAGAGGCAATCTGAACCCCTCCAAGATGCTGGAGCAGGGAGAGGTGCCTGGTGATGTCATGGTACCCTGCTTGCCCCAGAGCATCCAGGCTATCCCAAACCTGGCCAGGGATGGCACTGCCAGGACCTGCAGAGACCCCTGCCAAGCTGATCACCCATCCCCTGCTCCAGCCACCCCAGCACACCCTGAGGTGGGACGGCATGAACCCACCTGCCCCATCCCTGCTCCTTGCTCTGGCTGCAGGGGACCTCGGGGTGGGTGGGGAGACCCAAGTGTACCTTTGGTCCTGGGGAGGTGGGTGATGCTCTGCTCCTCACCAGGGTCCTTCTCACCAGCGTGGCTGCTGCAGCAGAAGAGGGGCTGCTGGCCCCTGCACAGGGCCACGTTCCCGTCCCCCACCGTCACCCACTCGTCACCCGCCAGCTGTGGATGGCACCAGCTGTCACTCCCGGGCGCTGCCGGCACTGCCTGCAGCCCTGGGGGTGACACGGGGACAGCTGCTGGGTCCTAGCACCCGCTGGGGACTTGGGAAGGGGGGCGGGTGTCCCTGAGCCCTGTGTACCCCCCGGGGGGGGAGCATCCAGAGGGCATCAAGGTAATAATACTGCTGAGAGTCACCTCTACCCAGCACCCTGGGGACGTGGATGTGTCCTCAGGGGGCACATGTGGGTGCAGAGAGGGGCTTGCACGGGTGCCAGACTGGGCAGAGCCCCAGGCATGGCACCACATATGGCACCATAGGGATGGCAGGAGATTGTCCTCCAGGTGGATGGATGAAATACTCCATGCCCAGGCAGGGCAGCACATCTTGCTTGTCCTCTGATGCCACAGTGATGGGCACCAGCCACATGCCTTGCTAAGGTGATGAGGGCACCTGGCACACAAAGCCACCAGCTATCACCTGAAGGCTGCCAGCACCCCATGGCCACAGCAGGCTGCAGCCCCTGCTGAGCCACCCCACAACACCCCTGCAGGGACCCACCACCACCCTTCCCTGCTCCACACCCACCTTGCTGGGCAGGAAAGCACCACTCAGTGCAAGACACGGTGCTTTTATTCATGCTTAAAGCAAGCTGTGTCCCCACCCCAGCCTGTCTCTTGCCAAGCCCCAAGCGGGGTGGCTGGAAAGTCCAGACTATTGTGCTACAGGCTGGTGGGCATCACCATCTGGTGCTGGGACAGGGTGGCAGGGTGCCTGGGCACCCTCAGAAGTGGAGCTGGACAAGGTAGCGGATCCGACACTGGCTTTCCTGGTAGATGAGGTACTCGCTCTGGCTGAAGGAGGAGTCACGATAGGCGGGCATGGGGATGGGCTTGCCCTGGCACACCAGCACCTTCTTGCCATCCAGCAGCATCTCCTCATCCTGGGCAGGGTCTGGGGGAGAAGACAGCCCCCACCACCACGTCAAGTCCGAGATCTGGCCTCTCTCCCCCCACCCCCCAGACCCTCCAGCCCCTTCTGCCACAGGCTCACCCGGTTCTGTCCGGCCACAGGCCAGGACACTGTCATAGCCAGGGGGTGGCTGACGCAGTGTGGGGTCATCACAGGTGATGTGGTAGAGCTTGCCCAGGGCCACCTCCGTCAGGAACATAATTCCAATGTTCTTGGAAGTGCAGCCCACTGCCATGAGAGAAGGGGATGGAGATGATGGTACCAACTCTGGCATTCCCATCTTGTGCCCAGGTTATCCCAGCATGCAGGGAGTGGTTGCCATGGCAGGGAAGGGGCTTGCCATGCCCACAGCTGCCCGGCAGGGGTTATGTGAAGGCATCTGGGCTCCCACAAAGCCCGTGGGCTCAGGACCCTCACCGTAGCAGGCTGACTTGCTGTTCTCAGAGGCAAAGTAGATGCCCTTGCCCACGCGCCCGCCGGAGTGGGGCATGATGCGCAGCCCGCTCTTCAGGATGGCGGCCACCACCGCCACGTTGGTGCCGTGCCACAGCAGGCGCCGGTGCTCCAGGAGATCATGGGCTTTGAAGCGCTCATCCTGGAGAGATGCAGAGCTAAGGGCTGCCCATGGCGGGAGACGTGGGTGCCTGGCGGTGGGAGTCTGCCACCCAACCACCCCAACCCCAGTGCCAGGCTGGAGGGGCAGGGGAGTGGCTGCTTGTTTGCCCCTGGCCACCCGGGCTCAAGTCCCCCCGGGTGGAGACACCTGGAGCCCTAATGCAGACAAAACTCCATTCTGGGGCCCAACCAGGGTTTCATCACTGCACGACAGGGATAATAATCTCATTCTCACCTCACCATCTCGAGCCACCTGCCAGATGTTGAGAATGCGGAGTCTGTGTCCCGTCTGTGTCACATAGTTTTGGATCAGCTGCCAGGGAAGGAGGCAGGAAAGTGGTGTCACAGCAGGCAGCCATGCCAAAAAGCTCAGAGTCCCCCTGGGGCAGTAGGAACCTTTGGGGTGCTCGCAGGCGTGGCACAGTTGCTCCCAAACATGGGGGACTGTGGCACAAGTGGTACCTGGTATTCCCGGGAAGCTGGGTCCAGCAGGGACAGCTGGCAGCAGAGCAGGGCATAATCCTGATCCAGCGGATGGGCAACTTCCTTCTCCTCCTCCTCCTTCACCTTCTGTGCCTGCAGGCTCTGTGCCACCTCAATGTCGGCCAGCACCTGGCAGGGACAGATCGAGGACATCACAGAGACCGGGCACTGTGCCTGGGGGACCAGGGCAAGCCCAGCCTCCTGTCAGCACCTCTCTGCCTCCCTGGGGAGGGACACCCTGCCGTCTCACCAACAGCATGTCCTTCTTGGCACGCAGCAGCTCGGGGGAGTCGATGGGGGGTGGCCGTGCCCGCCCAAAATTATGGGGGATAATGGTGTAGAAGCGGGATGAGAGGTCCTCCAGGCAGGCGGCCTGCGGGGGCTGATCCTTCAGTGCTGCCTCCAGCTCCTCCAGAGCCTCAAAGCCCCTCGCAATCTGCTGCTTGCTCAGCTTCCCCAGTGGCATCTTCTTCACATCTGGCCAGGGGGGCAGAGGAGGGCATGGGTGAGCCTGTCCACCTCCTTTGGCCCACAGATACTTCTAAGAACATCCAGCATTACCATGGGCACACATAGGCTCGAGGGGTCCACAGTTCCACCAAGTGCCAGGCTGTCAGTGGGGACGCTCTAGAATCCACCTGCACTTTCCTGCCCCAGCCCCCAGAGCCCCCCCATGCCACCCATCACCTGCCGATATTCATGGTCTGCATGGCATCCCGGAACATGTCACTGCTGAAGATGAGGGACACCAGCTCCTGCGTGGCTTTGTCCAAGGTGCAGGGCAGTATCCGCTGCTTGCAGACCTTGTCCCCATCCACACCATCCACCTGCAGACCCCAAACATCACCATTGACACCTGTGAGCCTTCAGGAGGCTGCAGGGATGTGGTGGGGGAGAGCCTGGTCCCCAGGCAGCAGAGCAACAGGCAGGAGTTGCCTCTACTTTCCATCACCGACGGCACACAGATGCCCGTGGTGCTTACTTGGGATCTCCTCCCATCCCAACCCTTTTTTCCCATTGTGGACTATTTCCGTTTGCACCCAGACCTCTCCTGAAGCCCACCCCATCCTGCTGAGCCTCTCAGATGTTCTAGCAGGATGTGAGGACCACCCCACCATGGTGACACCCCAGCTGTCCAGCACACTCACCTTGAGGGCAACCTCCACCTCCTGCCCAGCCCCTGGCTGCACCTCAATGAGTGTGTATTTCCCTGGCTGGGCAACAAAGTTCTCCCTCGCTGCCCAGCTGTTCTTGGTCTTCTCCCGAAACTTCTTCTCAAAATCCTTCTTGGCAGCCTCCAGGGAGGCAGTGGGCATGAGCTTGGACTGGCCCACCTCCCCCTGGCAGGGGAAAGCAGCAGTCAGGACCCACCTGCATCCCTGCTTCAACAGTCCCATGCCGGAGGGAGCAGCCAGGGAGCAGGAGAACTGCAATGGGGATGCTGTGGGACAGCAAGGAACATGCCAAGCCACTAGAACCAGGTCTGGGGGTCCCTCCAGCTGTAGGGAACACCTCAGGATCCCTTGTTGGGGTGTCACGTTCACCCACCATAGCAATGAGGTGTCATGTCCCCAGCCAGGCTGACCCTGTCACTTGGAGCAAAGCCTTGAAGCCTCCCCAAGAAGGAGCTATAGCAGGGTCACTTGGTTGCTTGCTTTGGGACCAGGATTTCAGGGATGGGGACCACCAGGTTGATCCCTGAACTTCAGGGTCCCGAGACAGGGTGGGGACAGCCATGGGGGAGGATGAGCAGTGCTTAGGTGGACTCACCACACGGCCCCAGCGGCTCCAGACACTGTAGGCACCATCATGCTCAAGGAGCTGGATGATGTAGAACTTGTTGTTGTTGGCACTGATGTTGGTCTGATTCAGGGTGCAGTCATAGTCCTCATAGACCTACAGCAAGTGGCATGGCCCAGGCTGGCACCTGGGCAGCGTTTGGGGATGGGGGCTGCAGAGCTGTCCTGGTGGGGACACAGTGGGATTTGCAAGGGAAATTTGGGCTACCCTTGTGTCAGCAGGGCAGGGACTAGGACTTCTCTAGGACTTCTCCCATGCCTCCCTGCCCACATCACCCCATCCCAGCCCCTCGTGGGTACCCCAGCCCCGCTCTCACCCTGGCTCCTGGCGCTGTGCTCAGGGGGCACAGCCCATCGATGGTGGCAGGGGGCTTCTCCTTCGGGGCAGTTTTCAGGGCTGCCAAGGTGGAGCTCCAGGTATCATCCTCCTCTTTCACCTTCTTGCCCTTGCCGTCTGGCTGTTTCGGGGGGGATGCGCGGCGCTTGGAAGCCATGGCCGAGCCACCCCCGTGCGGCCAGCGCAGCCTTAATGCCC